GATGGTGTTTGAACTGAAACAATCAATGTCCAACTGGGTTTATATTTCTCGACAGGCATCATTTTGTTTTATTTTAGTTGTAAAGTTCAGACAAGTTTCAGTTTATCCAGCTGTTTCACTTATGTGCCAAGCAACATCATAGAAGTTAGACATCCTGCATGAGTCCACTGGTGTACTGTGCGTGGTTACATCTATGGCTCGCACGCTCCTTTTGTCTTTGTCCACAGGTCTGGGACAGAGGGTGAAGACAATTTTTAAAAATATTTCATGTATAAAAAATAATATTTTTTTAATCAGTGAAGATTAAAGAAAATTAAATGCATGGTGCCGGCTTTACCATGAAATCCTGTTTTCACTTTGACTTTATTAAATAATCTGTTAATTAAAGTTAACTCAGCTGAAAAATCATAAAAAGATAAAATTATTCCATCTCTCGGGAATATTCCCCTCAAACATGTTTAAAGAAGAGACACAGCCTTTAGTTTAACTTTATTCGAATCCACAGATGAACAATTTACAAATCAAGAATTAATCTGTAAAACAAAGCTAAAATAAATTAAAAAAAATCTGTAAACAAGAAATAAAACCAAATATCTAAATGATGATGAAAACCTATACAATTTTAAATATAGATGTTTATGTAGAATCTGGTTCATCAGAGATTTAACGGTGAACTAAAGTTCATTAAAAGTTCATGATTTATATTTATATTGTTTAATTTGATCATTTTAATAATCTGTATTCTTTTTAATTTACCAGAAAGTTCAAAATAAATTCTCACCCCGTACTGAAACCTGTTTCAGGGTCTCACCACCATCATTGCCGCCACCAGCTGGTAACGCATGTGACGTCAATGTTTGAACCCAGAACCCGCCCACTAGAACCGCTACTGAAAGTATAATGGAAACACAACCGTACCGTGCCGGGCCGAACCAAACCATGCTGTACCAGTACTAATGGTACGGGCCATTCTTCTGGCTGCAATATGTTGTAAGGCTTTCTCTATTCATGCTTCTTAAAACTGGGGGGGTTAGAATTTCCCATCTGTTTGCATCAATAATTTATATAATTTGGTTTGTGTGTAAAATTCATTTGACCTGGCTCTTCTTTAGATCGTTCAGTCTAAAATAAATCAGGTAAACATTAGGATACAAGAAAAATACTTGCTAAATTAACTTTAGTCAGACCCAGTTTGAGTTTCCTGGAGGACTGAAACAAGTTTTCTTTGCTGATCAGCCTTAAGGCATGTTTATTTCATGACATATTTTACAGAGTATTTTGATTAAACCATAATTAAATCAAGATGTCTGGACCACTAGCACTTATATTTTCAAGGTTTGAACCACAAACTTTTTCTTTGTAATTGAAACCTACAAAAAAGTACAAGAATTCCCTTTTTCAATAAACCTACCCATACAAATACTTACAAAATAGATTATTATTTAGTTATTAATGAAGCTGTAAACAGTATAAAACAATTCACTGAGAGTAACAATGCATTGCAGAAGAGTATGGATCTATTTCTTGCCAAAAAGTGATCCGTTTACCTTTACTCCTTGTTTTAATGTTTAGATCACTCTTTCTTCAACAGCTAGACTTTTATCAAATTTAATACTCTAATACTGAGCATTATTATTGTAAAGTATTATTTATACAACAACAATTTTCATCCAACAACATATTTGAACCAACCAGGTACACCAGTCAAACCAGTCAAACCAGACCAAGGTCAGCAAAAAGTTCAGCTTGACATTTTGTGTGAATATTACTAACATGGATATTTTAACTAATTTATTCAAAACTTTTGCAATATAGTCACAAAAACGTGAATAGGATTATAGAAAACCTGACATTTGTTAAGACTTTATTTTATTTGAAAACTTGTAAACATTCTCCGAAGCACAAGGAAACGATAATGAGCACTACATGTAGTATGCAGGGGTTGAGTACAACAGATAGGGGTTAAGTTTAGGATCTGCCGATGCAAAGCTGCTGTTCTCATGCGCCTGGCGCCGATAGTATCTGCGAAGGGCAGGACTACTAGGGTGATGCTGTCTCACATGAAGGAAGTACTCGTCAGGCCGACACGAGGTATAGCCGCAGTCCTCACACACAAAGATTTTAGACCGTCTCTGACGGTAGGCATACTGCTGGTGAACACCATGAATCTTCCTCATGTGGGACTCCAGAGAGCAACGCTGTGTGAAAGCTTTCTCACACAGCTCACATTTGTAGGGACGAATACCTGCAGAAGCAGAAACAATGAATAAATCAAAAACAACATATTTTTTCTGTACTAGACCACTAGAGTGGATATATATTTTTTAACTCAAGCTAGCAAAGTGTGCTTTGCAAATGTCAGACAAATTCTGTATTTAAAAATGCCAGTAAATATTCTAATAAAATAAACTTTGGTTTTAGATCTTCTGTTTAAAGTGTACTTGATACTTCAAAGGTCAAAGGTGAACTGGTAACCAGTGCAGTGAGGCCAAAACTGGTGTAATGTGCTCTCTTTTGCCTGTACTGGTTAAAAATGGGGCTGCTGCATTCTGGACCAGTTGTAGTCGTGCAATGGAGGTCTGACTGATACCAAACAGGAGTGAATTGCAGTAATCAAGCCTAGATGTAATGAATGCATGTATTACTGTCTCCAGGTTCTTTTTGGACGATATGGGCTTCAGTTTAGACAGCCGCCTCAGTTGGAAGAAGCATGATTTAACGATCATGTTTACATGATTGTTAAGTTTCAGGGAAGGGTCCATTATCACGCCCAGATTAGTGACTCTTTGTTTTTCTGACAGGGTTAGAGCGGAGAGGTCGATGCAGTGGTTTGTGATCGTGTCGTTGGGAGGGAACAACATGACTTCAGACTTCTTTTCATTGCAACTTAAGAAATTTAAAGCCATCCAGTCCCTGATGTCAGCCAGGCAGTCGAGCAGAGGTTGAATAGAGCATGTACCATTGTGTCTTAGGGGGAAGTAAATTTGACAGTCGTCGGCATAGAAGTGGAAGGGCATGTTGTGTTTCCAGAAAATAGCACCAAGTGGCAGCAGGTATAAAGAGAATAGGAGGGGACCCAGTATGGACCCCTGCGGAACCCCCCATTTAAGCTCTGCCTCTGCGGAACTAAAATCCTTGATGGAGAGACAAAAGGATCTGTCAGTGAGGTAGGATCTGAACCAATTGAGGGCTGACCCTGTGACGCCCACCCACTGCTCCAACCTAGCAATGAAGATCTCATGGTCGATGGTGTCAAAGGCGGCTGTGAGGTCCAACCGGCCAAGCAGCACAGAATCACCAGTATCTGTGGATCTGAAGATGTCGTTAAAGACCTTCAGCAGGGCAGTTTCAGTGCTGTGGAGAGGTTTAAAGCCAGATTGGAAAAGCTCTAAGATGGTGTGATCCTCCAGGAAGCATTTCAACTGGGACTCGACTATTTTCTCCAGTAGTTTAGAAACAAATGGGAGTTTGGAGACAGGCCGGTAGTTGGAAACGAGTGAGGGGTCAAGGTTTGTTTTTTTCAGGAGAGGCTGGACAGCAGCATGTTTAAAGGTTTTTGGCACCACGCCAGTGGATAAACTACTGTTTACTATGGCAACAATGGACGGACCTAGAGTTGGAAACACCTCCTTTAGTAGTCGAGGGGGGGACCACATCAAAGGGGGAGCCAGAAGGTTTCAAGCTGCACATGACCTGCTTTAGAGAAGATAGAGTGATGGGTTCAAAATGGTCAAAAGGAGCTACAGATTGAGGTGGGATGGATGGGTCATGAGTTGGAGGGGAAATGAGAGCCCTGGTGGTCACAATTTTTTCCAAATAGAAATGTAGGAAGTTGTTGCACAGTTCAGTCGAGGCTTCCAGAGGTGATGGTTCAGTGAGGTGGGCTATTAAAGTGCATTTATTAAGTAAAAGTTCAACTGAGACACACCTTTGCTATAATTTTGAGCAAACAACTAATTGTTTTAGGTGCTTTTCTTGTTAAATTTTGAAGAATTGTGCAGATTCCTCCTTCCTTTTTTCCTTCCTGTCTGTGCACTCCTGGGAGTACCGAGGCAGCAAATACTTCTGAAATACAGCTGATTTGACCGTTAAAGTCCTTTTATTAAGCAAACGTTAGACTGAGACACACCTTTACTATAATTTTGAACAAACAAATAATTGTTTTTAAGCGTTAGACTTGTTTAAGTCCTCCTGTGCAGGCTCCCGCAGCCGCCATTTGGCAGCCAATCATTTTCCGGGTTGTCAGTGGTGACTCATAACAAACGTGGCGTTTCAGCGGTGACACATAATAGTTGTGATGTATATGGAGATGCAACATATTTATGGATTTTTCCACTTTATTAGGCATATTTGGACTGATGTGACTTATAGGGTGGAGCGACGTTTACGGTGGAAAGTACGGTAAGATGTCTGTTATAGAGAGGTGTCTGCCTTTCCAAATCATGCGTGGATTAAAATAAAGATGTAGAATATCTCAGCACCTATCAGGAGAACTTGGAGGCACCTTAACTAAACTGCAAAAGTGTTGTAGCAAGATTTGAATATTTTTGTGAAAATAATTCTTATTTAAAAATAATTTACAAATGTTATTAAATTCAGTTTGAACTTTTCTCTTAAAGGTTATTTATTGAGTGTAGATCGCAGAAAAATACAATTTATTTGAATAACTGTAGCATCAAGCTGCTGCATAATAACATTTCAAAATGTGGTCTAAATACTTTTCTGAAGCCAAGGCATTTTCAGTTTTGTTGAAAGATTTCTTCAAGTTTACAGGACACATTCCTACCAGTGTGTGTTCGCATGTGCCTCTTCAAGTCAAAAGTGTCGTTGAATCCTTTGCCACAAAATCGACAAGGATGTCTTTTCACCAGGCTGTGGCACTTAAGGTGTCGGGTCAGCATGCGCTGCAGGGGGAAGATCTTGTGGCACACTGAGCACCCAAAGTCACCAGACACAGGGGAAGTCCGAGGACGAGGCTGTTAAGGAAACATAAGTTAGCAAGTGCAATAGGTTGAAAATGCTATATTTAGAGCTTATAAAAGACAACAGACACCTCTCTTAATGTTTTACTACTCTGATACAGTAACTTGAATGCATTGTGGACTTACTCCAACGAGGTGGCGCTCGTGCACTCTTGTGGGTCGACTGAGCAGTTTTTCTCAAGCTCTATTTAGTGTGAATCAGAAATAAATGGCTCTGGCTTTTGAACAGTAAGTAAGTTAGTAACAGAACCGTTGTGCAGTAAAACAAGGTTTGTAAATGTAAGGCTCTTGGTTTCATAGTGATAATTAGAGATGTCTAATTCTGTTTGATGCTGTTAGAAACGTGCCGTTGGTTCTAAAATGTAGAAATGAGCTCATAATAAACTTTCTCTTGTGAGTAGCAAATGTACTGTTATTGTAATAAGCTGCTGCTGCCATGTTGTGCCTAGAGAATATAGTTTGAAGGTTTGAGACAAATTTTACAACTATTAGGTTTTTATTGTAAGTTACTTATGTTGATTCTCATTAGTTTGGATTTCTAATTATTGATCTTTTTTAGACATATTTTACAAGAATTTGCAGAACTAGTATTAGGTTTTATTGTAAGTTTGTTCAAAAAAAGTTCAAGACAAAAACAACTGGACTTTATTTCATCTGAGAAGCTTTCTCAATTCAAAGAATAGAGAGTGTGTGTTCGAGTTTTAAAGCTGAGGTAAGTGTGTCCTGCAGGTCTTATTCCGGACCCCCAGGCCCCACCTCCAGCCGTGGAGGCTCCCAGTTCACCCCCCACCCCCCCCACCCCCAAGCAGTAACCCACACTATCAATAAATCAAAGAAGACGTCAGTTAATTTTTATCAATTATATTAAATCAAAGCAGGAAAAGTTCACAGTTTACAGCGCTGGCTTCTTCGGGACAGACACGAGCAGCAACCAGAAGGGGCCGATGTCCTGTGTCATTACTCATTTATAGGGCTTAGACTCCTCCTTCGCAGAAGGAGAGCACAACCTGTCAGCATGGGGGGGGTGGGGGGTGTGATCTCAATGGATCTTATGTAGTTATGATGTGTACGGAAATATGAGCCGGTGTTTAAAAAGCCTTTCTACGTGATGTAGCAAGCAGAAATAAACTCTATTCCTTGACGGATATTCTTCCCAAAATGCTTAACAATATGCTGGTGAAGATTCTCAGTCATCCAGAACATGATGAATTCAAAAACGTCTGAAAACGTCAAAAAACGTCTTGCTGGAGTATCAGAGAAATTCAGAAGGATCTTCAACAAACACAAGATCCCAGTACATTTCAAACCCAGCAGGACTCTCAGACAGAGGCTGGTCCACCCTAAGGACAGAACACCCATACACAAACAGAGTGGTGTAGTGTATGCGGTCCAGTGCAGCGAGGACTGTCCAGACCTCTACATTGGAGAAACTAAACAGCCTCTTCACAGACACATGACTCAACACAGGAGAGCCACCTCCTCTGGACAAGATTCATCTGTTCACCTCCACCTCACAGATAAGGGACACTCTTTTGAGGACCAAAATGTGCACATTTTGGACCAAGAACACAGATGGTTTGAGAGGGGGGTGAAGGAAGCAATTTATGTAAAAAGAGAAAAACCATCTCTTAACAGAGGAGGAGGCCTCAGATTTCCACTTTCAAAAACCTATAATGCAACTTTAAAACAGATCCCCAGCCGGTTTTCACACCTGATGGGAACAGAGGGGCCTCGACTGTGAATTAGAGGAACTAAAGACTTTAAGAAACCCCTACTGTTAAGGTGTTGAGGTGTGAATTGTCAAATCTACAGATGTGTGTGTGTCTTATCTCACTCAGCCTTATAACCTGAACCCCTCACTCTCTGCTCTTTGAATTGAGAAAGCTCCTCAGATGAGGAGCGAAACGTCTTCTGTTACAAATAAAGTCCAGTTGTTTTTGTATTGAACGTTTTTTGTATTTGACGGATATTGAGTCCCAGGAAGATTATTTTTAAGAGTTGCTGGCCCAGTTAACCCAGTCAGAAACGGGTCATAATTTCATTATAATCCTGTCTCTGAGCAGATCAAAAACCCCACGACCAGTTTAGATAAATATCTTAACAACTCCCCATGGTTCCAGGACTTGGAGGGTACCTCGAATGAAAACTCCCAGTTCAATACAACCAGATAAGCAAGCAATGAATCACTTTTCCTCTGGTTGAATGCAAACTACTTATATGTTGGCGGGAGATGCCTACCGACTATAGCGTGTAACCTGGCAGCCTCAGGTCAAAGAACATGCCAGAACTGACGGCTAGCGAGTGACCTGCCTCCCTCAGGTCGCCTGACTCAGCTCTGGACATCTGCCAATGACTTCAGCCTCCCCCTGGTGTGGTGAATATGACATTATGGAAATTTCTAACATGATCTAAGTCAGGGCTCTAAATATGATTTAATGATTGCAGAAGGCGTCCGAATGCAAGAAAGCGTTCTTATTTAATAGATGTTAATCAGTTTGTAGAACCTGAACTTCTCTTTTTGACTCCAAGGGCAGACATGTTCCATCTTGTCCATCTGGAAAGGAAAAGAAAAAACTCTGTGCCCCCTTCAGTCATGCAGTACCCAATTTATTTGCACAGAGCGCTGCTGGTATTTTTAGCCTGTCACAGCAGAAAATGAGTTTGTGTGAATAAAACTGATTTAAACAATTAACATGTTTTAGCGTGCATATTGTATGTAAATAACAGAACCTCCCAACTCCCCTGATGATCTAATATAAAAACATATTACCAATTTATCAACAACCCATTCAACCACCCTTCAATTTAGTCCCAATTTATATTGAAGAAGAGAAAAAAATGTCATAAGGTCACCCCCTGGAAAATCTATATTGTAAAAAACCCTTTTTATGTATTTATCAAAATCCATCCCTAGTCTCTGGTCTCTCGTCAGCTGTAAAGATTCATCATTTCATAGAAAACAATATCAAAAATTAAATCTATCATCGCAATTGCGCCATCAAGTGGCGTTATTTCATCATGATTTGTTCTTAAAACTCGTTACAACAAATACATTCATGTCCCTGTCCTCACATATTTATTAGTTATCAATTTATCAAATCATCAAGCCATCATTAGAAAATAATAATCAAATATTTAGAACAAGAAATTATATTCATTTAATTCAAGGAAAATCAGTCTAATATCCCATAAGTGTAATTGTTCATAAGGGAATAAAAACCAATTTAATCTCAAAACAGTGTCTTATAATCATTTCAGTATATCAACATTAGCAATTTAAAAAATTCAAAACAATGGTCTGATTAAAAAATATACTTTAGACTCCTCTTCTCCTGCATGAAAAACAAAGACAGAAAATAGAAAAGGTGTTTTTTTCGGCAACCTCAATTTTAGCTGATTAAGCTCTCAAATCTCTCCCCTGTCCCGCCATCTTCTCTGATCACCACACCAGTCCCCCTCATCCTAGTCCTTTCTGCAAACTCAAACAGGAGGACTTCCTCTGCCATTTGGTAGGCCAAGGGATGTCTAGCATCCAACCAGTTCAAGGAACCCAATGCACTCTCGACGCACCGGAGGAATAGGGCATGTAGACACGTCAAACAACAACCTACACAACAGGCAGAGACCACCACCATGAACACAGATGTAAAGATGCTCACCGCCAGACTTTTCCATTTACCAATCCATCCTTCAACATACCCGGCCAGTGGATTTTCAACCCCAGAGTTCTCATTCATTTCCTTGGAGAGTAACTGCAGCCCCCTCAACGCCTTGGTCAGTGACCCGTCCAGCGTTGTATTATTGGGGATAAAAGAACAACAACCTTCTCACACTATCTTACAGACACCCCCAACCTGAGACAGCAGATAATCTAAGGATGATCTATTCTGATATGTGACAAGGGAGGTGGCTTTCAATTGACCGTGAATAGCTTCAAAGCCATTACTAGTAAAATTTGCCAGCCTCTGTACATTATAATGAATGTAATTTATCCTATCTACATTTGTATTAGGAGTTATTGAAAAAATAGCATTACTGGTAAATTCTCAAATCCAGCAGTAATGGGATTAGCAAGTTTATACTCATGTGATACCCCCCCCTGGGAATCCCAATTGCATTGATCCACACAGGCGACCCCTCTTCCAAAGAAACTGCTCGCCTGTGTTTCCGCCTCAAGTACTCAGCCTTTCTGGATGTTTGCACGGTCGGAATGACCTGAAAAGGTAATATAAGAGACACAACAGCACATTAGCCCGCCCAGTTTACGGGCAGCCAGCCAGAGTCGTTCCCCCACAATACCACCATAAGTCAGCTCGGTTCACAGCCAGTTGGGATGCAGTATCATTGTTTGTTGGATCAAAAATGCAGTGACAGTGACTGGATGGTATTTGACCTATATCATATTTCTGAGGGGCAGTGTTGGTGTTCCTCACGCAGGTCGCATTAGTCATCATTGTCGGTTCAAAAAGGGTGGTGTAGTGTTTTGAGGGGGCCACCGGGAAAATTTTGTCCCACCCCTCACACGTTTTTTCCAGATTATCCCTTGACGTCACTTGCAACAGGTAGTACATATCAGTACGACCCTCATCAGAAGGAGTTCTATTTACTGAGTTTTCAAAAACTGTATTCACCATAATAAGATTTTGTCTTGCTGGCGCACACACTACACAATCATCCATCTTCACTAGACTGGCAGCATGCTAGAGTTGCTGTAACCACAGGTTTTTCTGTGAATAACTTGTCTCCAGAAAATTATGTGAAGTACCGGACAAGATCCTATCTGTCCTCAAAACAACTACACCCTCCCTTTGCTGCGGCAATCCTCCTCTATCCTGCTGATCAGTCGGCTGGACAACTATTTTTATCAATCCCAAAGGATCGTATCCCGATACATCGGCCCCTAGAGTGAAATAGAAAACCATCTTGTCATAATTTCCATCACAACTTGCTCCTGTCCTCTCTAAGCTTCCTTTCTGTGCTCTGGTCGGATAAGGGTCGTGATCGATGTTACTGATGGACAATAATATTGGGTTCTGCCCCTGAATATCAGAGTTGACTGTCTGACCCCGTTTAAGAGAGATCTTTCCTTTCAGTTCTCCATAGCCGCGGTCTGCTGCTGTCCACCCATCCAGTCTAGTTGTCTACAGCACTAACTCCCAATTGGGGCAGTAAGGTGATATCTCCATCTGATCTGAACTCATTCTGCATAAGTACACATCATAACTCCTCCATGCTTCAGGCGTGTCACCACAGTTAATTACCGAGCATAAATCAAACTGGAAAGTGTAACTACTGTTCGCAGTGTACTGTAACATGATGCCTCCATACCTCTCCACACATCTGTCTGTCTTCTCACTGAGAATTTCTCTTTTCATTTGTCTTGAAACATCAAATTGTTATTGTGGGGTCATACTTTGGACCTCAGCTTTGCCCATATTATCGTTTCCTACCCCCCGTCCCGAGCAATGGAGCTGTCACCACTACATCGATGAAAATCAGGGCGCCCCGAAAAATCCATTTAGTAGATGTTAAGTTAGCCATAACTTGAATCACTCCTCGTTCTCCACGTCTTCTCCTATACGCCTCAGGTGTTCTCTGATTTCCCTGAGGCCTCTAACTATGGGTGGCTCCCCTTTTCTGCAGTGTGATTTGTGCAAATGTCTGCTTATCTTTGTGTGTTCATCATCTAACCAGACTCAGGCTGTATTTTTTGTGGAGCTTACCACCTTGAAAGGTCCAATCCACCTTGGTTTGTTCCAGGTTCGGTGGAAAATTTTTCTGTACACCCACTCTCCTTCAGCAATCTCCTCAGGATCTTCTCCCGTCAGATCTTTAGCGAGAACCTCCAATCTGTGTGTGATCAGGACCACCTGTTTCGCTAGCTCCCTTTAAGCGTGGTGTTCCATTTTGCTGTACAACCCCCTTCGGTTTGTCCTGTTGATTCTGAAAAAAAAATTACTGAAATAAAACCTTGTGAGTTTCAATAATTCATGTGCCCTTAATGCCTCTTCTAAGGCCTTGCCCCTCGTCAGCCACCCCGCACCGTCAGCTTTCATACGTGCCTGTGACAGATGATTTCTCAATGTATCCTGATGCATGTTCAATAATCCAGGTAGAAAAATCTAAAAAAGTTCAATCTGGTCCTCTGGACAGCTGGTTTTGGTTGTCAGCAGCAAAACTGGTTGATCCACTCTGAGAAGGTGCTATTTAAGAGACTGAGCTGAATACAGCACCTCAGACTGAGGAAGTCTCTTGGATGAGAGACGAAACGTTTCTATATTTTTTTGCTGTTTTGTTTTTTGTTCTGTTGTTTTGAATGTCCAGAGGACCAGATTGAACTTTTTTGGATATAGTTATTATAGTTATTAATGGTCAGCGAATGCATGCGGCTGATGATCCAAATGGGGTTGTCAGCCACGCGAGTACGCTGATGCAGCGGCTGAGTCCAGTTAAGCTTCAGGTGGGTCGCTGGCAGTGAGCCATCTGGTTTCTTTTAACTTCTGTCAAAATTTGGGCCTGCTTAAAAACCTCGTGACTCACCTTTAGCTGCTCCTCCGTCATCCAACAACTTGCCACCTACTTACTTCTACTTATCTCCTGCTTGGCCTGGCCCAAATTTTCGGGCCGGGCCGGGTACGGGTTAGAAATGACAGCTCTGATACACACTGCTCAGCTATTACAGCAGAATTTTATTTGGGTAAACAATGACTTCATCTAAACTGATCCTTTAAACCCCATCTTAACCTAAATGTTTGACACTTGTCCTCTGATCAGTACCTATATTACATTTTTGGATGGATGAATGTGAGCTGTGATCAATAGCTGTGGTTCATCTCACTAATGAGCTAAAGGAGTTTCAGAGGCTGCAGAAGAGCACCCATCCCTGCTGGAGCATTGCATACCAATCAGTATTTGAGCTATCGGCCTCCTTGTGCTTACCTTGGCTAAGAAAATAACTACCTTGTGTTCTCCTTGTATTCTTCTAGAATCTGCCTTCTGAACCTCCAGTCCTGGACCACTCCTTGTCTACCCTGAATCCTCATTTCCTGTACCTATCATTGGATCCTCGAAAACCTCCTCGTGACTCACCTTTAGCTGCTCCACCGTCATCCAACAACTTGCCACCTTCTTACCTCTACTTATCTCCTGCGCTCTGCAACACTGGACTGAATCCTCCTGGGATCCTCCACTCTCCTGTGAATGCATCCACTCACCTACCTACCTGTAAGAAACGACAACCTGTCAATCTCTTACCTCAGTCATCCTGACTCCTCCTCCTTCCCCAGGTTTTCCAGGTTCCCTGATGTAAATATTATCTATAAATGTATACTAGTAATAGTATCTTCACTGTAAATAAACAACTTTAATTATTCAAGAGTTTGGCTCTGTTTACCTCAGTCCATATTTTCTGGGTAGTCCATTATCATTATAGGATGGATGGATGGATGTCTCTTAGACATGTATACCTGTGTTGTCTTTTTTTTTTTTTGTATACCTGTGCTCTCTAATAACTTTACATAATAGAAGCACAGAGTAAAGAGTACTGATCCAAGAACTGAACCCTGAGGAAAATGTCCAAGCCTCTGTAATAAAATATTGTGATCAACTGTATCAAATGCAGCATAGACAAAAGTTGCCTGAGGCCATGAGAATATGCGTAACATTCACTAGTTGGGCACTTTGATGTGCTCTCAACCCTTATCTAACTCCACAAACAGATTATTTCTGTTCAGATGTTCACACCATTAATTTAGAACTTGCTACATGACTGAAGACTCCATCAGTTTGGCTACAGTGCTAAAAACAATCCATGCTTGTTTTTCCTAATAGAGATGAATAACGATTCACAGTAGAATAGAACAAATGTTCACCTCATGCTAATTGGAAAGCACACATACGTACATTGATAGTGGGAATTTAAATCTAAAGCAAATTCCAAATCCATAGAACAACACAGGAAGTCCTTCCTCCCTGTGGCTATCGAACTTTTCAGCTCCTCCCCCTTTCTACTCAGGGGACAAGAAAAATTAATCCTGCACTACAATAAAGAGTTTAATGTTTCTGTCTGCACCTGACCTGTTGGTATTCTTATATTCTCTGTTATTTTAATTGTCTCTGTTATTTTTATTTGTGTTATTCCTTGTTTATGTGCCTTTGTGCTGAAACTCTGGCACAACAATTTCCTGTGGAATCAATAAAGATCTATCTTATCTTATCTTATCTTACCTTATCTTATCTTACCTTATCTTATCTTATCTTATCTTATCTTAAATTAGGGTCGTTCCCTTCATCATGGCACACTTTCATTTAGCAGTCTTATATTTCTATGGACAATTCAATTGAATCAATTCAAGCAGTGGTTGCAATAACATATTAAATATTGTATGATTCCATGTAAATTAAGGTACCCTATACACAACATGAAACATTAGGGAACAAAGCCATCTTTGACTTGCGTCCTGTGAACTGAGACAGGTTTATGTTTCATTCTTACACGAAATCTTGCCGACTCAGACCATCCAACAGTTGTCTGCCATCTATTCACCTCTAATACTGTAAAAAAAGTATGGGTGCTCTACTTGAGCATTATGAAATTTGTTACAAATTTATTAGCTGAAAGTTCAGTTTTGGACTTACGTTAAAAGTTAGAATTTATTTGTTACTTTACTGCTTCCTTGTAGGTATTTTACAAGAGTACTATTTTGACAGACTTTTCTATTTGTCTTTTGTCTTAAGTAATTTTGTTGTTTTAATTTACTTGATCACACCAGTCAGTTTGATTTCAGCATTACACAGTAAAGAGGCAAAACTAATATGAAATAATTGATTTTGAGCCATGGTTCATTTGAACTCATTAGTGCGGTAAGAAAAGTCAAAGCTTACCTTTGCTCTGCTGACGATTGCCATTGTAGCCGGAAGATAGAAAGAGCCTATTTTGGACCAGCCTGGCCTGATGTCCGACCCAGGTACTTCTGATCTGCTCAAAGGTTCTGGAGCTTTAACTGTTGCTGCTCCACGTTCTGAAATGCCTGTTGGCTGAGGCGCATGGGGAGGCTGCTGGCTTTCTGCACTGAACAATATCTTCTCCGTGATGCTTTCACTCTCTAAGGAAAAGGATAAAGAATGGTTGCAGTTAGAAGGTAAGCGTTTTATACATGCTAATATAGTGAAAAAACTTAGCCAACTTTTACTCAGTGCTACTTTTAAAAACTCAAAAGTTAATTTGTTAAAGTTAATGACTATGTTCATTGTCGAAAGGATTTTCTTCTTACCCACTGGGTTGTCTTCTTTCCATTCGTAATTTTCTGGTTCCTTCCACTGCCAGGCTCCACATGTACCATGTTTCTTTTTCACAAGAAAAGATTTAGGCATTTTGGTGAATTATTTGAAATGTGTTTCTATTTTTAGTTTCTACACATTACACTTCACCCTCTGATGCAAGCAGACTGCTTGTTCATGGGATCTGTTACTGACGAGATTTTCGGTTATCCTTCATTCCTTGACAACCTGCAGGTAAAGTGTTCTAGTAAAATCACAACAACCATTTGCATAACTCTCCTTGGGGAGAGGAGAAGGTTTAAAGTTCTGATGGGTGGAGGGACAGCATTACAAGGACACCTGTGCAGACTGTGCATTCCCACCATTTTAACTGGCCATCCATTGGTTTTGCATGTCAGGTAGTGAGAATCCAGGGAGTTTCTCATTCAGGTAGCCTCTGACATGCAAATTCTGGCCCAGGACCAATCCCTGGCCCCAGAGACAGGGCAAGCTTTGAGTAACAGGAGCAAATACAATGAAGCCACAGCTTTAACTGATAGGTAAATCAGACCTTTTCTTTACGTTTTTAAACCTTTTTTAGATGTTTGGTAGGATTATGATCCTCAGATTTCATAAGAAGTTCATTCACACAGTCTGAATCACTTTGACAGAATAATAAAAGTGATCACTTTCTGTTGTTTGTTGTGCTTCGCAGTGAAGGGAAAATATAATGCAGTATATACATTTCTGTGCCAAAACCACATGGATTTTTTATTATTTTAACACTATATGACATCCATCCATCCATTCATTTTCTTTACCCGCTTCTTCCTTTTCAGGTCCCAAATTTGATCATTTGTAGCACTCTGAAGCTCCGTTAAGAAGCAGGTTGTCAATAAAATCAGTGCCCCTGTCTAAATGTTGACTCCCAGTACATACAAATGAAGCTTGAGACAAAAGCCAGTCATGCAAATTGCAATAGAGGTTACTCAAACAACATCAGAGAAACCATGTTGGACAAGCAATCCAGAAGTATGAAACCTCTTCAGCCATTTATAGGTCCCTCTTGTAAAGGAGTCCTCGTGGCTCAATGAGGCTATAAATAAAGGTTGAATGAATTTCCATCAGTTGACCATGTAAACTTTTATTATTGTTGTTGGATTCAGTTCAGTTCAGTTTATTAATGTAGTGCCAAGTCACGACAGATGTCCTCTCAGGGCACACTGCAAAAACAGCACTGCTTGAAATGAGCCAAATATTCCTGAACACGACCACATTGTCTTATTTTGGAGGGGGGGGGGGGGGGGTCTGCCAATGGGTAAGCAAAATTTGCTTGGCTAGAATTGTTAAAACTAGCAAAAAAAAAATCTAACTACTTTTTGCTTTAAACTCCATAATCAAAGAAAATCTGACATTTTACAAGCAAAGATTGCTTTTCCTTTAGAAATATTTTCTTATAATGAGCGTTATCCATCCTTCTTTAATCTGAGTTGAACTAGCAAACTGCACACACAGCATGATTTCAATTCACTTGAGTTTATTTCTATGGTGCCAAGTCACAACAGAAGTCTTCTCAAGGCACTGAACAGAAACATTCATCTATAAAATAATAATTGAACAGAAACATTAATCTATAAAATATTAATTGAACAGAAACATTCATCTATAAAATAATAATTGAACAGAAACATTCATGTATAAAATAATAATTGAACAGAAACATTCATCTATAAAATAATAATTGAACAGAAACATTCATCTATAAAATAATAATTGAACAGAAACATTCACAAATAAAAATAAGTTAACAGAAACATTCATGTATAAAATAATAATTGAACAGAAACATTCATCTATAAAATAATAAACAGAAACATTCATGTATAAAATAATAATTGAACATTATTTATCTGAGGAGCAGCTTTGAGTTTAACTCCATCACTGAACTCTCATCTTGAACAAGCATGAAGGCGACAGTGGAAAGAAAAACTCCCTCATGAGGAAGAAACCTTTAGCAGAACCAGGATCAGGACAAGAGGACCATCTGCTTTGACCGGCTGGGTTTGGTAGGAATAGATACACAATGGCAGCTCAAGAATCACATGTTAAGATAGAAATAGTATCAAATGAAAACTATTCAGTTTTAGAAAATCATTTAAGAAAATGAGGTCAGTTTGCCCTCTAGTAGTCTAAGCTTAAGACAGCAAGACAAGACAACCCTAATAATAGGATTTAACAAAAGTTATAATATTAATTAATAGTCTTATAAATAACTATTTAAAAGATTGAGCTGAATACAGCTCCTGAAACTGAAGAAGTCTTTCGGATGAAAGAAGAAACGTTTCTACATTTTTTTTTGTTTGTTTTTTTGTTTTTTGAATGTCCAGAAGAACAGACTTAACTTTTTTTAGATTTAAATATAATGTTTTTGTAGAATCTGCTTCATCAAATTTAGTCAAGTCAAGTCACATTTATTTATATAGCACATTTAAAACTAACTGTTATCAAAGTGCTTACCAAAAAACATCACAGCATCATATATTATTAATAACAACATATTACAGCAACATGAATAAAAGCATAACATTAAATATAATGAGAAACAATGAAATACCAAATGAGATCACACTGTGTTAAATGTCAGGGAGTACAGATGTGTCAGTGAGTACAGATGTGTCAGTGAGTACAGATGTGTCAGTGAGTACAGATGTGTCAGTGAGTACAGATGTGTTTGGAGGAGAGTTTTAAAAATAGAGACTGAGGTGGCCTGTCGAATGTTGATGGGCAGATTGTTCCAGAGTTTAGGGCCCATGACTGAAAACACCCGATCTCCTCTGAGCTTCAGCCTAGTTTTTGGTACAACCAAAAGCAGCTGGTCTGATGATCTCAAGGCCCGAGAAGGAGTATAAGGATGAAGAAGGTCGGAGAGGGATGAAGGTGCAAGGCCATTAATGCACTTAAATGTCAGCAGGAGAATCTTAAAATCAACTCTGACACGTACAGGAAGCCAGTGAAGAGAGGACAGAACTGGAGTAATGTGCTCAAACCTGCGAGTTCCTGTTAGTAGCCGAGCTGCAGCATTTTGTACGAGACCTGACTGACCCCAACATAAAGTGAGTTACAGTAGTCCAGCCGGGTTGTAACAAATGCATGGACTCATTTTTCAAGGTCGGATCTGGACAGGACGGACTTGAGCTTAACTATCTGCCTTAGCTGAAAGAAACTTTTTTGATTAAACATATTTAATTTGCTTATTAAACTTAAAGTCCGAGTCTAACACTATCCTGAGATTGGTAACAGACTGTTTTAGATGTGGCTGAAGGGAGTGCAGGTTTGCAGGATCAGTGACAGTGGTAGAGCTAGGGTTAAACACAATGACCTCAGTCTTCTGATCATTAAGGGGCCGTTTACACGGCGCGTATTTTGAGTGAATCCGCAGTTTTCTCTCTGCGGTTCTGCTGATCATTTACACGACACCAGTGCCCCCCCTCTTTGAATCCGGAGGTTTCTGAACCCACCTTCCAGAGTGGAGGTTTTTCACTGATAATGTAACATCTCCCGCTGAGGCTTTGTGTTAAACCACATGCGCACTCGCACGCGTGGACTGACGCTATATTTCTATCAACATGGCGGCGACACACTGCTTTCAGAACTACGACTGATGGAATAAATTTTTAATCTCGTAATTAATCTGCGTCAGATTCCAGCTGCTGTGACCAACATCTGTGTTGGAAGAGACACAGTCAGATCCAGTTCTAATGTCGCTGTTTATAGAACGAGGCACGTGCACACGTCGCGCTGCACTATAACACTATAACATAAATGTGCTAAATAATAAGTTTAGCAATAATAAAACAGTATTTATCTTAAGTTTGAGATATATAATGAAGCTCTCTGAGCTAAATGAAGCTATCAGGACATCACGTAATTCAAATTATGTGATTAAAATGATGCTAAACATGTTGCATGCTATTAACGTTGAAAATGAAGACATCAGGTTTAATTTTTATTTTATTTATTTATTCAACACCACAAACTGATAATTAAACTGAACATTGAATGGATGGAATAAAAGAACTGAGGGGAATTTTAAATAAATAGTTCATCCATCGTCTCTCTCTTCGACGTCCTGCTGCCGAGCCTCGTTCAGAACCGGTCCGCCTGGTGGGAGGACAGCTCCTTCTTCTTTCAGGAAAAAATAAAAACTCAGTTGGTTGTTTTGTAACCGAAGTAAACACAAGCTAACATTATTAAGAACATTTGATTTACCTGCTGTAAAACAGCTACTGATTATCATGGAGTAAAGTCCAACATTGTGACTCGGTTCTGGTCCACTCAGCGACCGGTGTGGAGCTGTTAGACGAAGCGGTCCCGCTTGGCGTCAAATCTGTCGGCTCTTTTATCCAAAATCCAACCAGAATCCAGCTTTAACTTGTTGTTAAGATGTTGTTAGCAGAGCTTTTTAGCTCACAGGAAACAGCGTGCCGAGGCAGCACGCATGCGCATTAGGTGAAGGTACAAAATTCACAGCGCCATCTAATGACCCGGCATGGTAACTACAGCAGATTCGGAAGGGCGAGGGGGAATCTTGCGGATGCATGTAAACCCAAAATACGACCGTGTCAACGCGGATCTTTTCCTTTAATTAACATATGAAAAAACCTACGTTTCCCCCATCGTGTCTGTGTAAATAAGGCCTAAAACACAAAAGGTTTGCAGCCATACAAGTCTTGATGTCATCAAGATATTTTAATAAAGGACGAATGGAGGAGGAACTGTTAGGTGTTAACGGCAGATAAATCTGAGAGTTATCAGCATAACAATGAAAGGAAAGACCATGTTTCCTCAGGATAGACCCTAAGGGGAGGAGATAAAAATAAAACAGAAGGGGTCCAAGAATGGAGCCTTGCGGGACCCCACAGGAAAGAGGCACTGAAGTAGATAGAGTGTTAGCAAAATTAACACAGAAACTCCTGTCGCTTAGGTATGAATGGAACCATTCTAACGCTGCACCAGTAATCCCAATGTGTGATGCATTAGCACCTGATGGCTGTTTACTGTTCACAGAGGGCTGAGTGATACTAGCAATCACAGCATTGTAAGAGGGGGACAGTTGAACCCGGAGGCTCCACCCCTGTTTAATGATGGACGGTTTCTTTACACAAAGATGGCCTCCTTTACTCCTCTCAAACCATCGTTCCTCTCTGTCCAGGA